CATTTTTACTTTTTTTTTTTTTTTTTTTTTTTTAGACGGAGTTTTGCTCTTTTTAGATGGAGTTTCGCTTTTGTTGCCCAGGCTGGAGTGCAATAGTGCAATCTCAGCTTACTGCAACCTCCGCCTCCTGGGTTCAAGTGATTCTGCTGCCTCAGTCTCCCTAGTAGCTGGGATTACAGGCGGATGCTAATTTTTGTGCTTTTAGTAGAGACAGGGTTTCACCATGTTGGTCAAGGCTGGTTTCGAACTCCTGACCTCAGGTGATCCGCCCGCCTCGGCCTCCCAAAATGCTGTGATTATACGAGTGACCGACTATGCCCGGCGCATTTTTACTTTTTTGAGAAGTTTAAACATTTGTCTTCAATATATGCTGGTACTCTATTATAATCAAAATGATAATCTGCATTAAAGATACCATATTTCTCTATTTTTTTTACCTTTATCAAAGAGACCACTCTTTACAATTGGAAAACTCAAACTGTGCAACTCAAAACAGCATTTTCATACAATGAAATCTGAGACAGCTAGAACTATTGCACATGTTGGTAAAAGCCAACATAGTCTCTAGTTGAGAATTCCAGGCTTCCATTTTCTTTTCCTAGGATGACACTAGTATATGAAGTTTCACTCTACAGTTTCACTCTATAGGGCATGCTGCATAAGTTATACACCTCTTTAAACTGTTTACTGAGGTTAATCCCAAAAGATAGCAATCCTGAGCAGTTAGGGACCTCACATCACTGTCAGATGATTGCTACAGATTTAACAATGGAAAGGAAAAGGAACACAAAATCTGAAGTTTCACTTCCATAAACTGTCTCTTGTCTTTAAAAGGTATTATCTTTTAAGGTATTCCCTTTAAAAGGTTGATCCATGGGTTTCCATGTTGTCTCTGATTTGACAGATCACAGAGATTAGGAAGCACCATTAAGAGATGTGTAATTTGACAAAGCTGAAAATTAGCAACTTTGTTCATTCCCACAAATAATACAACAAGCCACTTACAGACAATAATCTGGTTCCTGATATGTAAAAAATCTACAAATAGAGCCCAAAAAAGTGATTTATTATGTATTGCAGTTCAATATCACTGGGTAAGACTAATGAAAATTATCTATTCAGCTTTCCACTTTGTCTAGCAACATGTAAGAGAAATAAGGGAGAAAAAAAGTAAGAGCTCACCACTAGATATATGTAGTTGCTACTCTGCACTTGAAATGTGGCTCATGTGACTGAGAAACTCCATTTTCAATGCTACTTAATTTCGATTCACTTAAATTCAAATACCCCTTGGGCTGGTGGCTACAATATTGGACAGTGCAAATCTAGTGTTTATTCTTTTAAGATACATTTCTCACCCTTGGGCTACTGTATAAAGCAAGTTTATAATACCATAAAAGATACACATAGACCAGGTGCAGTGACTCACACTTGTAGTCCCAGCACTTTGGGAGGCCTAGGCGGGTAGATCACAAGATCAGGAGTTTGGGACCAGCCTAGCCAACATGGTGAAACCCCGTCTCTCCTAAAAATACAAAAATTAGCTGGGCGTGATGGCACACCTGTAGTCCCAGATGTTTGGGAGGCTGAGGCGGGAGAATCGCTTGAACCCAGGAGGCGGAGGTTGCAGTGAGCCGAGATCACGCCACTGCACTCCAGCCCAAGTGACAGTGACAGTGCAAGACTCTGTCTCAAAAAAAAAAAAAAAAAAAGATACACGTAGTTGCTGTATCTTCCATCAGACAAACTCATTCTGAGTTTCAAAATAGCACAAAACTCTGGTAGTACTATTGTATTTCTTTCAAAAATAAGTAAGTGCTCTATACTTCAGGTTGAGAATAACAAATCTGTAAGATAAGCATGTGTGGCAATAGCCGAAAAGAAAATGCCTAATTCTTTAGAACTATCTTTTAAACGATTGCTAAACTGAACTCAACCCCTTTCCTCAAGCAAAACAAGCGAGGAGAATCCCAAAGAGTTAAAAAACTGACCTCTAAATAGAATTCACATTTACCAAAATGACATTTTTTCACCAAACATAACATTCCCATTTCTTAAGTAAGTTTCATAGTTTTACTCAGAATTTAAAATGCCAATGGGAGGTCAGTGAAAGAAAAACTGGCCAGGTAAAGTGGCTTAGCCTGTAATCACAGCACTTGAGGAGGCATGATTAAATATTTCTCACTCCTGGGCTCAAGCGGTCCAGGAGGCGGGCAAATCACTTGAGCCCAGGAGTTTGAGACCAGCCTGGGCAACATGGTGAAACCCTGTCATGTTGGGGTTATTTTTTTACAAAAAAAAAATTAAAACCCATTATTTTTTATAAAAAGCTTAGCCAGGCATGGTGGTACACACCTGTGATCCTACCTAATGGGAAGGCTAAGGTGAGAGGATCCCTTGAGAGTCCATGAGATAACAGCGGCAGTGAATCGTGACTGTTCCACTGAAATGCAGCCTAGGCAAGAGTAACTCTGTCAAAAAGAAAAGAAAAAGGAGAAGGAAGGGAGGGAGGGAGGGAGAGAGGGAGGGGACAGAGGAAAGAAATGAAGGAAAGAGAAAGATGGAAAGAAAAGAGAAGAAAGAGAAAGAGAAAGAAAGAAAGAAAAAGGAAGGGAGGAAGGAAAGAAGGAGGGAAGGAAGGAAGAAAAGGAAGGAAGGAAAGAAAAGAAAGAAGAAAGAAAAAGAAAACCTAAAGAATCCATTTAACCCTTCCAGGCACCCTCGAGGGCTTCCCTATAAAAGTACCAAAGAGCCTGGCACCATTGTGACCAAAGCCCCAGCTGTGAGGCTGAGGCGGGAGAATCTCTTGAGCACAGGAGATCAGCTTGGGCAACATGAAAGACCCTGTGTCAAAAAAAGTCCCTAAGATCTCTAGCAATATATGCCAGTATTTAGATTATAGCTTTAACAATTCCCCAATAAAACGTCCTGCAAGCTTGGGTCACAGAGCATGAACTTTATTTTGATTCGTGCTCTTTGCCCTCATGTATATCCTATGCTAAGTACATAGAAAAATGATATTTATAAAAGTATTTCCTTTAGACTTCCTTGCAAATCTGCAATTTCTGAAAGTCATATTTGCATTTGAAAATTGAATTTCCCTAGAGATGCTGGCTATCATAAAAGCAGAGACCTGATATCTACTATTTTCGTGTTCTTCAGAGTTATTCATATCCTGTTCTCAGTTATTTCTATTGAAAGATTAAATCAATGTGTCATACTCTGTGGCAAGGTAGTTCATGCCTGTAATCCCAGCACTTTGGGAGGCCAAGGAGGGTGGGATCACCAGAGGTCAGGAGTTCAAGACCAGCCTAGCCAATATGAAACTCTGTCTCTACTGAAAATACAAAAAATAGCCTGGCGTGGTGGCGGGTGCCTGTAATCCCAGCCACTGAGGAGGCTGAGGCAGAAGAATCACTTGAACCCATGAGGCAGAGGTTGCAGTGAGCTGAGATAGTGCCACTGCACTCAAGCCTGGGCAGCAGAGCAAGACCAGTCTCAAAAAAAAAAAAAAAAAAAAGGAAGTATCAACATCATGTACCCAATATGACACACTGAGATAGAAACTTTACTTCTGTAACATTTTTCCCAAAATATGGAACATTCATCTAATCATGACAGTAAACATCAAACAAATACAAATTGAGGGGCATTCTACAAATTAACTGACCAGGTCTTCTTCACCAGTGTCACCAGGAAAAAACAGCGAAAGACTGTGGAACTGTCACAGATCAGAGAAAATTAAGGATATTTAGCAGTTAAATACAAAGTGAGATCATTGATTCAAACCCCGGGCAGAAAACGGACGGTGGAAAGACAAGTGAAATCGAAATGAAGTCTGTAGTTTAGTTCATTTTATTATAGTAGCATGCCCATTTTATTAGTTTTTTTTTTTATTTGCAAATTTTCAGTAACTCTCAAATTATTTCAAAATTAAAAGTTATTATAAATAATAAAATAACCAACATGTTTCAATGTTTATAATGGAAGAGTAATATTAGACTTAACGTGCCATTTTTGTTGTTGAAATCTTCCTCACCAAGATCTATACAATCCAGTCAAAGCTGTACTCTGAAAGCGTTGTTTTGTAAAGAATATCACATCAGAAACATCTCTTCCTTTTTACTCTGGCTTATTGACCGCTAGCTGACATTCAAATGATAGGAGAGCTGTGAGATCCTCCTAAAAACCAAGCTTGAGGGGATGTCTCTAGCACTGAGAGGGGAGTGAAAGCACTCAACCCTTTATGTTCTCGGGATAGGTAAATGACAAATTATTCGTCAATCTTTTTAGAATACTAACATTAACAAATTTTTCCTCCACCTATAGTAACTTCCATGCTCAGCGGGTTTTTATCCATCCAATATCAACTTTAGCTTCATACATTTGGAGAAAGGCCAAGAGTTTTACAAACCCACATTTAACACACTATGGAGCCCCGAATCAGTTTGCACCAGAGCATCATTTTCTGAAAAACCACTTGAATTGTCAGTTTTAAATTGCACACCCACTTTCAAATGAAACTGAGAGAGGCTAAAAAACGTAGCCATCTCTTTTCAACGGTTATCTATTTTCAAACAAATACATACACAATGCCCGCCGACCTTTCCAAACACACACTCTCAGCGCATTGGCTTTTACCATCTACTCACTCAGCTTAACAGCGCTCGGTCTTAGCCAGAGGCTCAGGATCTCGGGATGCGCGCGCTCAGAGGCAGAGCTTTAACAATCATTGATGTAAATGATGTCAGCTGGACCGTCCAAACAAACCCCAAAAGCAGCAGTGTACCCTTAACAAGGCCACCAAGATTGTGCACAGTGCATTCCCAAATCCTCCCCAGCTCCTCTGCAGGCTGCCTCCTGGCCAAGTCTCAATCTCAGCGGGAGTGGCGGGAACTGCCGCTTCCCTCCTGCGCGCCCGGAACCGTTTGTGTGGGCACAGCCCCTTCCCAGGACCACACCAGGCGTGCCCACGCCCTCCCCTGGCGCCGGACACTCACCCGCGTGGCGGTCCGTGAGGACACTATCGGAACCAGCGGCGGTTCGCTGCCTCAGGAGACCCGGACATAGAGGGTGTGAGCTCAAGCAGCGCCTCGGGCTGTGGACAGTCAGAGCTGAGCGCTGTGGCCCCTCCCCCGTGTGCCTGGTTTCCCCTGGGTCGGGGTTCGCCTGCCGGGGTTAGGCGTGGCACCGCCTGCCTGGCCGCGATAACCGCCCTGCGACCCCGCTGAGAGCGCACACATGTCCCGCGGCGCTGAGCTGCCTGCTGGACGGGAACCGCCCTCCTACGGGACTAAGGTCACCGAGACGACTATGCCGGGACACGCAGGGACAAACCAAATGGGGATGGTACGAAATGGAGCCGAGTCATTAACTCCGAGAATCACCTGGCGCTCATCGGGCTGATACCTCGTCTGATCTGGATGGGCTTGATCGCCGCCAGCGGCTGGAGCGCCGAAGCACCGGGGACGCAGACCCACGGGTTGGCCAGCCACAAGCGCTCCTGCTCCTCACCCCCAGAGCAAGTAAGTGGGTGGTTTCTGGTGAATGGGCTTCTAAGAAAGTGGATGCTTGCGCCCCAGGGCCTAAAAAAATCAGGGACTGAATCTAACCCAGTTAGGGAAAGGGGAGAAACTTTGAATGAAAATATTACCATAGTTTAAATATTATTCTTCACACTCCTGTGATTGACGTACTTCTGTGCAATATTCTGATTGTGTGGAAAGGCTGGAAAATGATTGTGTAGGTTTAGGAAACGGGCTGTGAGGTTTTGTGAGTGTAGCTATTCAATAATCTACCTTTCGGGTATATGCGTCTACCCTAGGAAATTAGTACCTGCATGCAGATATTTTCTGGTTTGCATTTACAAACAAAAATCATAATATCACTTAAACTGTTTAAATCAACACTAGGAATAACTATTAATTGTTCACCCAATGCAGGAAAGTTTTAGCCAGGAAGCCTACATTAGAAACTTGACTGTACATAATTTTTTAAAGAATTTTTAAAATACCATACCGCATGCTTTTTAAAAGAACTTTAAGGTATATATTCATGATGCGCCCCAACATTTGGGTAAAATTATTCTTTTGAATTAATTTCTGTCAGTTTCAAGACCTTTAAAGACCCATATAGAAATACATTTTAGTCATACTTCATTTTAAGAAAAAATTAAGGCCATCGTTGTGGCTCCTGCCTGTAATCACAGCACTTTGGGATGCCAAGGTAGGTGGATCACTTGAGGCCAGGAATTCGAGACCAGCTCGGCCAACATGGCGAAACCCTGTCTCTACTAAAAATACAAAAGTTAGCTCGGTGTGGTGGCAAGCCACTTGGGAGGCTGTAGTCATAATCGCAGCTACTCAGGAGGCTCGGGAACAAGAAGCGCTTGAACCTGGGAGGCAGAGGTTACAATGACCCAAAATCCTACCACTGCACTCCAGCCTGAGCCACAGAGTGAGACTCAGTTTCAAAAAAGAAAAAGAAAAAAAAATTAAGATAAAATTTTTTTAAAAATTATACTTTAAGTTCTGGGGTACATGTGCAGATGGCGCAGGATTGTTACATAGGTATACACATGCCATGGTGGCTTGCTGCATCCATCCCCCTGTCATCTACATTATATATTATAAAGTTTTCAGACCTGGCCTTTAATGATTGCGAAAACTGAAAAGTCTCCAAAGAATAAATTTTATTTTAATTTTCTTTTTAGCTCACCCAGACAAGTGAAAAGAATAAAATTTTATGATACCAGAAAAAGTGAAAACATTTCCACCAAGATCTGAAGGCACTAAGGAGGAGACCTAATAAAAATGGAGAAAACACACATGAAATTGATATGAAGCACATTTTTAAAAATGAGTGCTAAGTTGAACATAGCATTCTGTAATTATGTAAAATAAAAACAAACCAAAACCCTAAACATAGAGGTCAGGCACGATGGCTTACACCTATAATCCTAGCACTTTGGGAGGCCAAGGTGGGTGGATCACCTGAGGTCAGGAGTTCGAGACCAGCCTGGCCAACATGGTGAAATCCCGTCTCAATTAAAAATACAGAAATTAGCCAGGCATGATGGTGCATGCCTGTAATCCCAGCTATCCTAGAGGCTGAGGCAGGAGAATCGTTGGAACCAGGGTGGCAGAGGCTACAGTGAGCCAAGTTCACGCCACTGCACTCTGGCCTGGGCAACAAAGCAAGACTCCATCTCACAAAAAAAAAAAAAAAGAAAGAAAGAAAAGAAAATTGCGGGGCAAGGAGTGGTAACTAACCCCTGTAATCCCAACACTTTGGGAGGCAGAGGCCACCTGCATTCCTTGGCCCTTTTCTCCATCTTCAAAGCCAGCAGCATAGCAGCCCTGTGACCCTGCTTCTGTCATCACATCTTTGATTTTCCTCTGCCTCCCTCTTCCACCTTTAAGGACCCTTGGTATTACAATGGGCCCACCGGATAAGCCAGGATAATCTTCCTATTTTAAAGTCATTTGATTAACAATCTTCATTTCATCTGAAACCTTTAATTCTCCTTTGCTAAGTAACCTATCATTCACATTCTAGGGAATAAGACATGGACACATTTGAGAGGCCATTTCTTCTGCTCACCACTAGGCCACAGGAAATGAAAGCGGATGCTAATGGAGGAACCCACTGTCACCCACTGAGTTGGTATGAAGAATATTTTAACTGAAACATTTAAGATACAGCAGATACAGAAAGAAGCCTTTCTGGAGCGTCCCTTCATTTGACTAAAGGCAGAGCTTTCAGAGAGTGAAGCTGCCATAAATTCCCTCTTGGGGAGCTGCACTGCCAGTAAGGAGACTTCACTGCCAGGAAGAAAGCTCCACTGCCAGGAAAGAGACCACTTGCACCAGAATGACAAATTGCATAACCGAACATAATCACAAATTGTCATATCTTCATTTGTTTCCCTAAAATCCCATTTGTCTTTCCATAAAAGCATATTTGTTTTCCCATAGATCCCTTTCTCTCCTCCTCCCTTTTCCCATATTGTTGGCATATAAACTCTCATCTCTAACTGTACAGAGAGCCTCTTCAGCTGAATAAGTGTAAATAAACTTCGTATGTTCTGTTAATCCATCTATTGCCAATTAATTTACTGGCCCCCAAGCACTGGACCTAAGTTGGCAGAAGAAGAGTTTCCTCCCAACACTAATATGAGACAGAAACTGCACAGCAACGCCAAGGCCCCTATGGTGGGACTCTATAAACAGTGGTTTGAAAGCTGCAAATGGGCATGGCTTTCTCATTCACAAATATGTGAAGGTAAAGGGTTAAATTCTAGGGTATGGTTTTGCTGGGTGGGTAAGGCAATAGAAAGATGAAGCAAAGGAGTTGTGTAAGTGAAGTGATTCATCATCATAGGAAAGTGAAGTACATGGAGGGGTCACATGGAGATGGCAAGAGCTGAAACAGGAAGATCAGGTCACTGAGTGGGATACTGGCATTTAATATTCACATCCCAGGTTTTGATAAGGCCCCACGGTTTAAACACGAGAGTGGGTTATGGAAGTGGAAGGGAAGCATATTTGTTTTAAATTGCTTGAGTAACAAATTACCATCAAGTTAGTGTCTTAAAACAATACCCATGTATTATCTCCCAGTTATGGAGGTCAGAAGTCTAGATTAGGTTAGGCTCTGCTCAAGGTATCAATAGGCCAAGTAAAAGTGTCAGCCAGCTGAACTCTTAGCTGAAGGCTCTTTACTAAAGAACCAAGCAGAGTCAGGTTGTTGGCAGAATCCATTTCCTTTTGGTTACAGGACTGAGTTTCCTGTGTCCTTGCTGAATGTCAACCAGGGGCACACTCAGCTCCTCCAGACTGCCTGCATTTTCTTCCCAGGTGGCCCCTCCACTTTCAAAACAGTTTGGGTCCTTCTCAAACTTTGAATCCAACTGTGCCTTCTGCTTTTTCTTCTTTTTTTTTTTTTTTTTTTGAGATGGAGTCTCACTTTGTTGCCCAGGCTGGAGTGCAGTGGTGCAATCTCAGCTCATTGCAAGCTTCACCTCCCAGGCTCAAGTGATTCTCCCACCTCAGCCTCTTGAGTAGCTGGGACTACAGACGTGCGCCACCATGCCTGGCTAATTTTTGTATTTTTCATAGAGATGGGGTTTCACCATATTTGCCAGGCTGGTCTTGAACTTGTGACCTCAGGTGATCCACCCACTTCAGCCTCCCAAAGTGCTGGGATTATAGGTGTGAGCCACCATGCCCAGCCTCCTTCTGCGTTTTAAAAGGCTTATGTGATAAAATAAGGGCCACCTTTACAATCTCAATATTTTAGAGTCAACTGACTTAGGACTTTAGTTACAACTTCAAATCATTCAGATCAGAACCTAGATTACTGTTTGATAAGGTATCCAGGAAATGAACTGGAATCGGGGTTAGGGAAGAGGCAGATCTTTAGAATTCTGTGTCCTGGAGGTGGAGTTGAGATGAGAGAGCACAGAAGCTAGGGTAATGGAATGATCATCAAAATAAGCACAGAAGTTACCAAGATAGTAATAATCCGAGATTATTATTATTATGTCAGAAAGCAGGTGTCAAAATCTTTTAGACATGGAAAGTGAACAGAAGATGAGTATATGATGGCATTTACACAGAGAGAGACAGCATGGGGGAGGGGGCGGGGGATTGGGGTAGTAAGAGCCCAGATGCTGGAGCCAGAACACCTTGGTTAATATCATTTGCTTTATACAGCAGACAAGACACCAATTAAAAATTAACTCATTTGGTTATAAAGTTCATTTGGGGGCAGGCACAGTGGCTCACGCCTGTAATCCCAGTACTTTGGGAGGCCAAGGCAGGTGGATCACGAGGTCAGGAGATCGAGACCAGCCTAGCCAACATGGTGAAACCCTGTCTCTACTAAAAATACAAAACACAGCTGGGCATGGTAGCATGCACCTGTAGTCCTAGCTACTTAGGAGGCTGAGGCAGGAGTATTCCTTGAACCTGAGAGGCGGAGGTTGCAGCGAGCCAAGATCATGCCGCTGCACTCCTGCCTGGTGACAGAGCAAGACTCCATCTCAAAACAACAACAACAACAACAACAACAACAACAATTTCATTTGGTTATAAAGTTTATTTAGTTATAAAGCTCACTCCTAAAAATTAGACTGCAGTGAACAAAAATGTAGGTGTTGATAGTTAACCTGCTGAGTCAGATAGTACAGTGTATAACAGTTGTCTCTGCAAATTAGTTTGAAAGGTTAAATGCTGAGTTCACCAAACTACATTTCAGTGCCTATAAAAGTCTTCTGTTTAAACTTTGGAGGATACTATAACATACACAACAAAAAAGTACAGAAAATCTAAGTGGATAGCTTGATATGTATTTACAAAGTGAACACACCGGTATATCTGTCACCCAGATTAAAAAAAAAAAAGAGTGCTAACAACGCCACAGAAGCCTCCTTCAAGCTCCATCCCTTCCAAAGGTAACAACTATTCTGAGTTCTATCATTATATATTAGTTGTGTCTGTTTAAAACTGTATATAAATAAAGTAGTTATATCTTTTTTTTTTTTTTTTTTTTTTTTGAGACAGAGTCTCACTCTGTCACCCAGGCCAGAGTGCAGTAGCACAGTCTCAGTTCACTGTAGCCATGGCCTCCTGAGTACAAGCAATTCTCCTGCCTCAGCCTCCTGAGTAGCTGGGATTACAAGTGTGCACCACCAAGCCTGGCTAAGTTTGCATTTTCAATAGAGATGGGGTTTCACCATGTTGACCAGGCTGGTCTAGAACGCCTGAGCTCAAGTGAGCTGCCCACCTCGGCCTCCCAAAGTGCTGGGATTACAGGCATGAGCCATCATCCCCGACCAAGCAAGTAGTTACCCTTTTGAGACTGGCTTCTTTTCTTGAATATTATCTGCATGAAATTCATATATTTTGCACGTGATGTCATAAAGGCTTATTCACTCTTTTTATTGGATTTCACTGTATGAATACAGTGTCATTTATCTATCTACTCTTGATGGGCCTTTGGGTCCTTTCCAGTTTTGCAATACGCCCTAGAGTGTTTGGTTAGAAAACAGTTCTAATTCCACAAGTAGGCTAAATAGAGGCCCAAAATGTGAAACCATGCTCTCCCTTTGATTATGCTCCAAACAGCACAAACAAAACAGAAAATAGCAAGAGGATCAATATTGTACAAGAAAGTTAATAAGTAAATGATGGTTCCATTTCTCCCTCAAGCAGATGTTACCCAACCCCTCATTAAGCAATGTTTTATTAAGGGCTCCCTTACATTAGGTCCCATGATTGGCATTGAAGAGAAGCAAGACACAGGTCCAGGCACGGTGGCTCATGCCTGTAATCCCAGCACTTTGGGAGGCCGAGGTGGGTGGATCACCTGAGGTCAGGAGTTCAAGACCAGCCTGGCCAACATGGCAAAACCCTGTCTCTACTAAAAATACAAAAATTAGCTGGCCATGGTGGCACACACCTGTAATTCCAGCTACTTGGGAAGCTGATGCAGAAGAATCGCTTGAACCTGGGAGGCAGAGGTTGCAGTGAGCTGAGATCATACCACTGCACTTCAGCCTGAGTAGCAGAGTGAGACTCTGTCCGCCCCCACACAAAAAAAGGTGCGTTTTAAAACCTTTTTCTTTCCACCTTTCTTGCCAGTCTCAAGATGCAGCTTTGAGAGGAACCACAGATATGTTTCTGTTGTCTTGAAATATGCCTTAGAATATGCTTTAACACTCTATTCCCTTCCCCTTCCCACCTTATGCTTCCATGCCTAATGCACATTTATTTACCTGGATGCTTGTTAAGCTCACACCATACTCAGTTATCTGGTCATATATTTCCTTAGAGGCTTCAGGGACCTAATCCTACACAAAACAGGTACTTCTGGGATTCTCTCCCCAGCAGGAGATTATTTACAGGCCAGAGTTCACTCCCAGCTAGATACCGACTGCAAGACTAACTGGGATTGATTTGTAACTTGGCTGAACCAAGATGCTGGCTCCTTCACCAGATGGAACAATAATTCAGAATCAGCCACTGGGGCAAGCCACACTACCTGGCACCTGCTAGCCACCTTGCCTCTCCTGCATTCAAAGCCCCTCGTCTGAAACCCCTGCCCTCTCTCCAGAAATTGGAAAGTGGAAATTTTGGGAAAGTATTCTAACCACTTTCCCCCTTGCTGGCAATGGATAATAAAATTCACTCTTTATCATACCTTGCTCTTGTTATGTTGTCTTCGTTCCACAGGCAGCGGGCGATTGGCTCCTCTTTCAATCATAAACGTAATGTTTTAGAAAGGTTCATCTGATCAACCTAAATGCCCATAATTAGCAGATGGGATAAAATGCACTGGTGTATATGTAAACACCATGAGTGTGTAAGACATATCCACCATGAAATACTATACAACCATAAAAAAGAACGAGATCATGTCTTGCAGGAACATAGACAGAGCTGGAGACTATTATCCTTAGTAAAGTATCACAGGAACAGCAAACCAAACATCACATGTTCTCACTTATAAGTGGGAACTAAATGATGAGAACTTGTGTGCACAAAGAAGGAAACAACAGACACTGGGGCCTACATGAGGGTGGAGGTTGGGAAAAGGGAGAGAAATGCAGAAGAAATAACATGAGTACTAGGCTTAATACCTGGCTGATGAAATAACCTGTACCACAAGCCCTTGTGACACAAGTTTACCTATACAACAAACCTTCACATGTACCCTTGAACCTAAAGTAGAAGTTAAAAAAAAAGATTAATCTATTTCTGTATAGAATGGATGGGGGATGTGGGAAGGCAGAGATCAGTCTGGAAATTTTTAAAAAAATAATTGAACTAAACAGATGACTTAAACTGAGGAAAGGGGCATCAAAGAAACATTGTAAATGAAGAATTTACAGAAGCTGGTGACTGATAGAACATTGAAGGTAAAAGACAAAGAAGCTAGTGCTGACTTCAAGGTCTGAAATTCTTGGGGTTACATAAATGGAAATTATGAGGTATAGGAAAGTGTATCTTACACCTCAGTGTATTTCCATATATTACCTAGTTCAGTGCCTTGAACACAAGTGATATGCAATAAACACTTGTTTTCTGAATAAT